GAAGTTGATGGTGTGGTTGTTTTTTCAAGGTATTGAAAAGCTATTGATATATTTAGAATATATATCAAGTATCTGTTACGTACCTATTTTTTTTTCCATAGCAGCATATTAATGTCAATATTAGCACCAATTTTCATATTGGTGCACCTGTAATAAATATTGAATATGAGACAATTTCTGAAAAGTGATGTTCTCAGACCCTGAGACTCGGGATGTCAGAAATATTCCAAAAACAGTTCTAGATGTGCAAATATGGTAGTGACTTATCATTTAAAGATGTATAAATTGTAATCTGAGTTCCAGACAGGCAATGGACACCACGTTATAAATATGCATCACTTTCTTCCCACTTAGCAATTACATGCCACGTTGTGTTGGTGTGTCGCATTTAAAAAAAAACAAAAAATGAAAAACTCCTCAAAATGCAGAGGAGCTTTGAGGATGTGAATACTTACCGTCCAGTATTCACATCTGAAGGATGTGAATACTTTGGTCAGACAGCTCGCAATATCACAATATTCTAGACTTCCATTCCAAGTTTCCTTCTCCCTGAGCCACGCCGCTACAGCCACTTGTCCCGGTTCTCCATTTTAGCGTTTGATGTTTTGTACGGCGCCTCAGAGGCCGGAACTTCTCGCCTTGGTCCAAGGTTGCCGTTGGTTACCTGTGATCAGCGAATGTCTGCTGGCAGAATAAGTAATATCTCTTCGGGGAGCCCTTCTCTTTATGCTCTGCTTGAGACTGGTGTGGGTATTAATTTGGTTTGTAGGCTAGAATTTCTCCTGGGAGCTAATAAAAATAATTACAAAAAGATCATCAAAGGCCTGACCTTCTGTTGCACACATGAATAAATATGTGACCAAGATAATAGAAAACACAGCCTAACTCTGTGTGTGGTCAGTGTGACCGGAGATATAATTGGAGGTGTTTTATCTTGGAATTAATTGAGAAATAAAGAGGTGTTTTTTTCTTTGAAAAATCAGAAACTTAAGTGGAGTTTTGGCCTACTTTCATGCTTCTCTCTCTGAGTCATAAAAAGAATGCAAACATGTTAGCTTGGGCATATTTAATGGAAAGTTGCATCCCTTTCAGTGATGTGGACATAAGAAGACGTAAAAATAAATAAATAATAATAGGCTGAAAAAAACCCATCATCTTCTGGTTCACCAACTGCTTACTGATTTCACTCCCTGTCTGCATTCTTTGTTTGTTCTGTATTTGCTGCTTTCCTGCAGGAGTGGATGACTGCACAGCCGTGGTAAAAAGTAATGGTGGTGTTATTGCAGACGGGGCAGGGGGAAACAGAGCCATTTTTGATTGGAGCGTGTGCCCTGAGTCCCAGTGAAGTGCACTTGCCTCAGCTCAGAGAGCACTTGATTGCACAGCACCAATGATCGCATTAAAAGGGCAACAGAAAGCCCATTTACTGCAAAGAGAGTGGGTCTAGGGGGGAAAGGGAGCCGGTAGGAAACAGAAAATTTACTTCGACTTATGTGAAGAGCTAAGATCTGATGTCTGGATGAAGAATGTTTTGCTTTTTGCTCTCCTGGAGAGCACATAGCCTATAGGTATAGATTAACATGTTGATGTTGAGATTTTTTCAATGAAACAACTAGTAAGAAAGAGGGGAAAATTAGGATGATTGACAGCACTAAGACACTCCTTAGAGCTGTCAATCCGGGCTGTGATTGGTTGTTTTGAGTTAGCACTGGGAGAAGAAGATTTTTTTTTTTCACAGATTATCTGTCCCCTACCAAGCTGTCACAATATAGGGACAGTTTCAACAAATATGTAAAAATTTATATTTTATAAAATGTTAAGCCTTTGCAGAACAGCTGTATTAATACTCTATGTACTTGCAAGTTGACTTCTGATGGCAATTGCTTTCTTCATTCAGAGTGTATTTCCTAGCACTGGGAGGTTTTTGACCTTTGTTGTCTCTACACCTGACTGTCCCCACTCACCAAGGATACTGACCATCCACGTAGGGCCCTGTGTTCACCCACCTCTGCTTTTCCCTGGCAGTGGAAGGACAATAGTAGAGGCATCTGCTGCGTTCATGTCCACATGAAAGACTGGAGCAGATGGAGCCTCTAGGTTTACGTGATTAGAAGGCAGTAGATTGGAATACAAATTGGATTTAAAGAAATTAGACTGATATAAATCGAATGTAGTCGGCGTGGTTTGCTCCTGTGCGTCCGCATTGGCCTTAGTTGAAAGCCCCTGCATGGTTTTGTGGATTGCAGCGGGGGGGAAACACATGCTTCAATGAGATAAAAATAAATGTGCAGTCGACACTTCATCAAGGGAAAAGGGGGGAGGTCCATCACTTTACTTTATCTCGCTCTCCATTAATCAGCGCCGTGGCCCTAACTGCTGCCTTGTAGGTTGAGTCTCTTATTGCCACAACTCAAACTCACTCTGCACAAAATGTTACTGTTACTAATTTTTGATTGTGTAAATAATTTTGTGAAGCCTACTGAAATTGTCTTTGTCTGCTTCACTACCCACAACATCCAGTATTTCACCTAATGCCAGTAAGATTAGATCATGAGCTGTGGGAACATGCTGTCACCAGCCACTCATGCACAAACCTCCGTCTGTAGCCCCATTTGGCAAAAGACACGAGGCCTGATCAGTAATCAATGGCGGGGAAATGGAGGGAATTAGCCGAAATTAGGAGGAAGAGAGAACAGGCTACCTCCTGTTCAGGGGTCAATATGCTACTGTCTGATGGCTGATTCCTGTCGAGTGGTGGGCTTCTGGACTTTTGTGCTGAGATGTGTGTCATTTGAATGTGTGTGTGTTTTGCTCAGGAGCTTTGACAGACATTTTGTGCAGATATTTGTGCTTGTAAAATTTTAGTTCATAGATTTACAGTTGATTGCCAGAGTGTGAAAATGTGCGCAAACATAGCTGATCAAAGACCCGAACTTCCACAACTGCTTCAATCCTTTGTTGAGTTTAGCTCAAGAAGAAAGATCTTTGTGGTACATTAGGCTTAAGTATAAGATCCATCGTCCTATTAGCCCACTGCATTACCAGGGTAGGTCATCAACTCGGCTCAATCAAACATTCAACCACTAGCTTGTTGACAAAAAAGCTCAGCTCTCAACTTGATCCAAGTCCTGATTGGTTAGCATGCAGCTGCCAACAGAATCATAGTAAGTAATGGGACAATTTTATGTTATTAAAAAGAAAGACCTCTTTCCGTTAAATATTGGAAGAGTTAGCTTGATTTGCTCTGCTTTGAAGTAGTTTTTTGATTGTTTGGTGCTGGATTAAACTGTTTGATTCTTGTGTGGCTTCCATGGCTTGTGTGATGTAAATGTGTGTGGCCGACGGCTCCTTATCTCTGGGGGTAAGACCTGGTCACAGACGCATACAGCGCCCAGACTTGGGGAGCATTATCTTAGCCACCAGACTCTGAGAGCTCAGTCACTGCAACCCTAATGAAAAGGAGCGGCCATGGCTTTGAGCCACAGGGGATTAGCATTTGACATCAGTCTGAACTCTAACATCCATCCAAATAAAGAGGAAAAAAAGAACTTTGACATTCATATTCACATCAGTTTTGCTGACTTTTCAACTGTAAGAAAAGCATTATGTTGTCCACATAGAGGTCTAATTACTTTTAAGATTTCCCATTTTGGTTTCAAAACGGGTTTGGTTTGATTGGAGCAGATCTCTCTTGTGAAATGCTAAATCTTCCATGCTTCAAGTTGTAGCTACAAACTAGTTTGCAGTCACACATTACCAAAAACCAGGATGGATTTGCTAAAAAATTGGTCCAGTGTTCAACAAAACATTTGTCAAATGTTAATGTTTTATTTGTTTCAAAATAGGGCTGTTGTAAACAATTATTTTAGTAATCAAGTAATCCCTTGATTATTATGACCATTAATAAAATAACAGAATAAACGTTGTCCCGTTTATGTAGTTTTACTTAAGCTAGTAGAAGAATCAAAGAAAAAGTGCTAGTTAAGCACATTTATTTTCTGCTTTTAACAAGAAAACATGCTATAGCCTAAAATGCTATATGATTCAAGCATCAATTTTAGTCTCAAACTTAAAGCATGAGAATTTAGTATAATAGATATTTCTAGTCGTTATTTTTTCAAATCATTACTCTTCTTAATCAGCAATTATCTTTAATGTAAGCAAAAATGTATTTCGATGCACATGTATAACCTCCTGGATTTGGTGCTAACAATCAGATAAAAGTCAACCTTTTGGAAAAGTATAAAAACATCACCTGTTAGCAGCCACAAGCGAGCTCGGTGCATGTAGTAGATGTTTCCAGAAGAGGTGTTGGAATATTGAGGATGTGAAATTTCTTCCTACTTCTATTTCTTTTCGATTTAGCTTCAAGAGATTCCACACTTTTGACACATTTTGTCGCTTTATTGGTAGCCCCTCACCATCTCCCTCCATAGTTGCTAATAGCACTTAGCATTTGTTATCAGCTCATTGATGGATGTGAGATAATAATAATAATCTGGTCAGAACACAGTTCACTAAATAGTAAAGCATAATTTAACAAAGCCTTGAATCATTTGTTGAATTGTTACAGGCCTATTTTAAACAAGTCTGTTAATCAAGAAAATTAACTTTGAAGCCTCTAAGCTAACTTTAATTTCATTAGCAGCAAACTGTCCAAGTTTGTGATAGATGTTTTGGAAGATACACGTTGCTTATATTGGCTTTCTTTTGAAATGTAAAACATTTTATCAATCAACTGTGCATATTGACGTAACAATAGATGTGCTTTAAGACTACTTCAGTTCTCACTCGTTTAGCAAATAGAAATATCTGTACTAAACTTGAGAGTTGATTTTTTTATTTTCTCAGTTCTGTTTTATCACTAACAATTTCTTTTTACATTGTTGACAGTTTATGTTTGAAAATGGATTTAATAAGCCATATGTATTTAATTTTTTTGACATAAAAATTGTCTCTTTTCTGTTATTAATTGTGCTTCTCTGTGTCTTTACCCTCAGGATCCCGTCTGCGCCAGGAGGACTCCCCACCCCGGATTGTGGAGCACCCCTCTGACCTGATCGTATCCAAAGGGGAGCCCGCCACTCTCAACTGTAAAGCGGAGGGGCGGCCCACCCCGACGGTGGAGTGGTACAAAGACGGGGAGCGGGTGGAAACGGACAAAGACGACCCACGTTCGCATCGCATGCTGCTTCCGACCGGCTCGCTTTTCTTCCTGCGCATCGTTCACGGAAGACGGAGCAAACCCGACGAGGGAGCCTACGTCTGTGTGGCCCGGAACTACCTGGGAGAAGCCGTCAGCCGCAATGCATCCCTGGAAGTAGCATGTGAGTTGTAACGTTGTTGTATCTTTTTTAAAAAATTTTTTATTCTATTTGTGCCATGTCTTTGGCTGGCCAAAATAGGTCCAGATCCTGCGACAGTCAAAAAACTTGGATTTCCACTCAGCGTTATGAACTTCTATAATTTGTTTGTAAACATCATTTGTATTAGGAAATTGCACTCCACTTACCAGTGGGAATAAGAGGAAACAAATCAACATTTAATTTGAGGCAACTGTAATTACATTATTCTTAGAGTTGATTTCATTGTACTCTTTGCCAACTCCGTAATGATTTCCTGAGGTCTAAAAGGTTCTTGTTAGCTGGGGTAATGACTTGTGGCGAATGAGTTTTTCAGCCGTGACTCTGATGAATTTGATACATTCTTGGCTCAGAGGGGCTGTTTTGAAGTTGTCCACAGATCTTTGAGTATGGACATAAAGCTGCTGTCACTCTATGAAAGAGACAAGATGGCAGGGCAGACATTGGGTCTCTCACTGGTGATCAGGGTTAACATGACAGGGATGGCTCCTGATGGACATTTAGCCCAAGCTGTCTGGTCTGTGTTGATGACAGGCAGAACCTGAACTGTGACTCAGATTACCTTTGAAGATGAGCCTACACTCACCCCCCTAACAGACTTAGGCCGGGTTTTCAAACCAAAAGTCCCAGAGACCTCAAACAGTCCAGGAGGTGGCGTGGGAAGTGTCCATCTGCTTTTGTTGTTTTGACTTATCATTTAATAATATGGCTTATTATAGCTAACTAGGAAACAGGCAACAGGACAGACTACATTCAGCTCTCTTTGAAGAGATTTAAAAGATGCTTTAGTTTGAAAGGTACAAATATTTGACCGGTTTGGAGTAATTCTCTGCTAACACTTTCTGTAGACTCTATGTCTACCACAAGCTATATATATATATATATATATATATATATATATATATATAATATATATATATATATATATATATATATAATCTTTCTTTTTTTGAAGAGGAGGAAAGAAATAACCTGCTTTTTGAAGGAACAGAACTTGAACCTGTACATTTCAATTACTTAAATCCATTTTCATGACTTAAAAATTTTAATTCTGATGCACCAGGAAATCTGATGCATAACCATCAAACATGGCAAACAGTAGCAATGGGTGACAAAACCGCTTCTCTTGGCCGACAGGGGCTTAATTTTTCAATTTGACTGGATGCCGGGAAAGACTATTGTTGTGTGCCAATTGTTCTCAAAGAAGTTAGCCTTTCACTGAAGCTATTCTAGTCTAAAATAGCATTTAAATGCTTTGCATGTTGCAGCAGAAGAAATGCCCCCAACACTAATGTCAGCGTCCATAGTCCACATTTCTAAAAAAGTTTTTTTTCAAAAAGTTACTTGAATTCTAACTTCTTGAAAGACCTAAAAACAGAATGGCTATGATTAGTGCTACTATAGCACTTTGCACTAATCAGATGGTCTTGTAACCTAAGTAGCAGGTTAAACACTGTAAATATCTTTGTTGTTGAGCTCATATGTGTATTCAATAATTTAGAAGTAAAAAGAGTTTTGCTATATTTGTTGGTTTATGTTTGGTTTCCTTAGCAGATTGAGTATCCGGGGACTATGGATCTATTTATTCTATACTTTATTAAAAGATGATAATAATTTAGCCCTTTATTGATTTTTATTTTTAAAGTTCTGACTGTATCTTGTCAGCCACATGTGAAGTCATTTCATACTTGCATTTTTCACCAACAGTTTCCGATGCTCTTTGCCTAATTTAATGTAAGGATAAGGTAGTTATGCTACTTGAATATATTTGAGCTACCAGAAATGTAGAAAGTTGAATGTTTCTGGGTTTGAAATGGAAGGAGATAAAAAGTTCACTCATGGAGTTGAACTGAGGTTCAAAACAACAGATCTGAAGCAAGGCAATGCTTCTGCTTGGTGTTTTTCTCTAGTCCAGTAGACTGTAATCAACTAAATTACATTTGTGGCTAAAAAGATACAAAGAGGAAGTGTGAAGAAACTTTATCATGATTAAGATTGACTGCAGAAAATAGTTTTCCTCTGCATATCTGGAACTTGAGTCAACAACTACATCATTGCAGAGTCAAAGTGGTTGCTTTTTCCAATAGTTATTAACTGAAAATCTTCATTTAGTCTGAAAGTGGCCCTTGCCTATTAATCACAATCTGACAGAGTAATAAAGTTTTATTAAAGTAGAACAATTTTCATATAAATTATTGGTGTGCGAACAGATAAAATCCCCCAAAGGCACGTTTTAGAAATTTAAGAAGATGAGACGGGAGAAAGACAATGGAAATATGAAGGTAGTGTTTTATATCCAGGCATTAATGACTTACTGCAATTTTAATAGCAGGTAATTTAAGAGATATGGAATAAAAAATGTTCTGAAGTTGATTTGTAGGATTGGTGCATGGCCCAGACTAGTGTCCTGCCAAGGGCAATAACATAGTTGGTTCTTCTGAAACACGATTCTGCTGCTGTTTTGGTATTATGCCATTTGATTGTTCACACTCTTGAATATCCTGTAGTTTCAGTCTTTGATTTTTCTAAAGCCTGTCTCCTCAATTAAGTTCCTGTAGGCCCAGAAGGGAATACTTAGTCATCTCTGTGTCTGGTTGACTTATTGGGTGAAAATGAACATTTCCATTTCCTGCCTGGGTATGTGGGCGTAATGAAGCTGAGCAAGCAGCTCTATCCTGGGCTAGTAGTTCTTGTGGGCTTAATCCGGATCAGTGGTCATACAGGGGTTGAACCAACCATCTCCACCCTGAGCTGGAGACCTATATAGGCCTAAACTAAAAAGCTCCCGTCAGCCTTAAGGCTCTCTCATGCAACTTGTTGTGTCATGAAAATTGTTCATAAGGAAGCATTCTACTCCTTTTCTCATCACAAGGCTTGGGTTGAACTATTTTGTACAGAGCTCTGTGCAAAATGTTGTGTGATTGTTCAGAAGGTTGTTGACATGTTTTATGAAGAAATGTGCTCAAATAGGAATGTTGATATGTTGCTTGATTTAGTCCACTTTCACCATGTGGTTACTGTTTCTGCAGGCGCCGTGGAATACATTTAAGAAACATTGTCCAACATGGTCAGACATTATGTACATTGTTCATTACTGAATAAGTACAAATGAGAGATTCTGAATGAAACGTGCAGAAATGTTGTTCATAGAGGAGGCGGTCTGCAGAGAGGTGTGGCACTCTCTCTGTAACCATTTTGTGAAAGCTAAATGGAGGGTGCGTGTCGGAAAGATATGTGTGAATATGAACGCCCACAACCAAGCAACAACTTTTTGGCTTAGGATGAAAAATGGGAGCGCCTGAAATGAATATAATTTATGAAGTAGAAGCAGGTGAAGAGAACTGTTACATCCCTATACACTGGATTTTTTGGCAGTGATGAGTTTTATCAGGGCTGGAAATCCGTCTAGCAGTCAAGTGAAGGTAGCATCTAAATCTATTTCCATCAGCCAAAAGTTTGACATGTCCTGCCGCCTCCTTTTTTCCTCTGCTTTCCTCTTGCTTCAAAGTATTGAACACACCTTTGCTCCCACTCTATTCTCGAGTGGTTAAACAAGACCCTTGTGAGGTAGTTTAATTGCACCTACTGAAACAGACTCGACTGTCTCAAGACCATTGCAGTGTGACAAAGCTCAAGCTCAGCAGCACTCGCCACTCAAGGTAAGGTGGAGAGAAAGGAAAGAGGAGGGAGAGGTCTCAGAGAACTTGTGCTGCATTATTAATGGATTTACCATGTCTTTAATAGACTGAATCCTTCCTCGGGTGGTAGATGTTGAACACAGATTGCTTGTGAATTCTGCCTGAACAGGGGTAGAGTCGATGCTGTGTAGTCTCAGTTTCAATGAGTAGAACAAGGAGTTGGTTTTTACCAGGCTAAAGCATTAGTTGTGCGTTTCAAAAAGCTGACCCTTATGAAATTGTGGCAGAAAGAAACTTGTTGAATGAAAGCCGTGAGATGTTCAGTTGTTGTTTGTCTCAAGCCATGTAGGGAACTTCATAAACATGTGGAACATGGTTCTCCAGTCAAATAAGAGAATAATTAAACTTTTTGGCCTTGTTGTCCTTAGTGGTTGGTGGGTAATTATCTGTAGATTACGCTGATCACACCATCTCCACAGTTATTGGAGGAAAATTCAGGTTAATCTTCAGCCAAACAATTTCCTAAAGGTTGAAAAAGACGTTAGACTGTGAGAAACGTTCACCAACTAACAAAATGTTCAAAGCTCAGCCCGAAATCTAAATGAATCTGTGGCAAGACCCAAGTGTTGATGTTTACAGACCTCATACACCCAGTCTGACTGAACTTTTAAGCATTTCACAAATTTCAGTTTCTAGAGTGGGAAAGAGATGGAACTTCATGCAACTGTAACTGAGCTGAAAAGTGTCACCATAGATGTTTTTCTTTGGAAGGTTTTCTTCCATTTCACCATTATTTATATTTAATATTTTGTGTTTTCTTCTACAACATGAAATCCTAACAAATACTTTGCAGTTTGTGAGTATAACATTGAAAAAGGCAGGAACGTTCAGTGCATGTTCACACCTTTGTAAGACACTGTAGAGAACTGATTTCCTTACAGCCATTAACTTCTTCACAAGGACAGAGAACATCGAAACATATTGGGGGGAGGAAATCTGAATAGCTGCTTTATAATCTGGTCGTAATCAAGACTGTCCACAGGCCAGCTATGTAGAATGAATATACAATAGTATTGGGTATAAATGAGTATGCCCTCTTTTCTTTCTTCTGACTAAAGTAGGTCAATGAGCAGGTTCATAAATCATTTTGAAGATTCTGTCAGAAACTCTTGCAGCAGCTGTGGCCGTTGAATAATTTGCCAGCACTGCAAATATCTGTGTATATTTAAGTGTGACAAGCTACACCTGGGGCGACAGGATCCCAAGGAAAATGTTAATTTTGGCCCATCTTTTCAGGTGGACGACAGTCGCACATTCCTGGATCTC